CCGAGCGCGGGCGAGGGGCGCGCGGGAGCCGGCGGCGATTCCTCCCCGTCCTCCTCCTTCCTTTTCTTTCCCTCTCTCTCGTTGGTTTTTTCTTACGACTTTATAACTACTTTATAAGACGCACATGAAGGTTTTGTACATTTGTATATATAAAAAACTCGTTTTTATTTATTTGAATAAAGGGCCGCACCTTTGTGTTGCAGTAGCTGCCGCTGAGTCGCCGCGCGGCGGGCTGCGCCCCCGGGCCGCGGCCGCGGGCACGAGCCGCGCCGGGACCCGGTGCTGGGGGCGGCGGAGCCCGGCGGAGCCCTCGGAGCTGCGGGGCGGCGCGGGGACACGCGGGGACAGCGCGGCTCGGCGCCGGGGAGCGGCGCCGGGACGAGGCTCCATAAGCGCCTTGGCATCCCTCCATCCATCCCTCCATCCCTTCCTCCCTCCATCCACCCATCCCTCCCTCCATCCGTCCATCTGTTCCTCCATCCATCCCCCCATCCATCTATCCCCGCACCCACCCACCCATCCCTCCATCCATCCCCGCATCCACCCTGCGGGCGGAGGCGCCGCGAGGCACAGGAGCACGCGGCCGCCAGAGGACAATAGGCGAGAACAATGGGGCGCGGACGGGCGGGAACAATGGGGCGCGCTGCCTGGGAGCGCGCGGGGGGGGGTGTCGGGATGCTCGAAGGGAAAGGGGGCCGGATACCCCCCCACACCCCCCGAAACCGGCCCGGGGGCCCGGCGCGACCCGAGCTCCGCGCGTGGGAACTGCGGCGCCCAAGGCGCGTCCCGGGCAGGCGCTCCCGGCGCCGCTCCCGGGCTATCCCGCTGAATTCCCACGGGAACGAGAGCGGCCAGCGGGCACCGGCGCGGCACCCGTTCTGCGAATAAAGGGGCTTCTGAGCCGGCGGGGCCGCGTTACACCGGATTCACGAAGCAGAGTGAAGCGCGCTGAGGCTGCAGCCCGGGAGCGACGCGTTTCCTTGGACGGGAACTGCCCGCACGGGCGGGTGCTCCTGGTGGCCGCTCCACGGGATTCTGCGGGATGCGTTTTCATGAGGCGTTGGGTACAACGATAACGCGGTACGTTTTGTGCCCTCGTTGTGCTCCAAGCTGGATTACMCGTTTCTCTTACCCTCAGAAAAGATGGAACAGATGCTTTGGAAAAAAATCAGCTAAATGCATAGATGCAGCCACTGAAAAAATAATGAACCCATCTAGCACTGCTGTAAAGCACCTGTGTTCAAATCCCGGCACTTGAACCGTAGCGGAGTTTGGGGGGAGATGTTGGTTTTTAAAGGAGCAGCTTTGACTCCCACGTATTTAGTTATACCCTGTATAATCAGTATCTCCGATTGCAAAGAAAAGAGATTCACTTGTTAAAGGATGAAGTAGTAAAAAAGTTTACTGCAAGCTGCGTTGGGCAGAGTCTGAAGCCCAGCAGAAAATTCAATAAATAYGAATGAACAAGAGCAGGCAAAACAGTCAGTAGCAGGAGTATTGACAGGAGATTAAAGGGGACAGCCAATTTTGATAGTAAAGGAAGGGTAGAAAATCTTGTTTGAGAACTTCRGAAGTGCATGAGCAGATTTTTTCCTAAAGGATTAATTTGAACAAAGATACTCCAAAATCATGCAGCTAAGATCTTTTGTACTGCATAGTTCATTCTGCATAAAAATGGAAATGGTCCGAAAAGGACCTTTAGGTTTTGCATTGGATATTAAGCAGCACTGGAGCTCTTTAGAGTCCCAGAACTTATATCTCCTTTATGAAACCTTAACATCAAGATTTGTTGATTGCAGAATTTGCTAACTTTCCTCCTCTTTTTTAATGTCAAGTGATGTTGCTTGTATTCTRAATGTATCTATCCAAAGACATCATAAACCTTACGTGATATTAAAAAGGACAGAAAAAGTTGTTATATACAACAATGATGACATCATCAACAAGAACTTTCCTGAACTTTGGAGCTTTGCATGTGGCTTACCTCTAGGTAATATTTTTTTTCAGTTCAAGAGAAAATCGATTAATTCTAGTACCTCAAAATTGTAGGTAAATTAAACATAATAAAATGGGTTACTTATTAATACCTGTGTTGATGGATGTCTAAGCCCGGTTGCCGGCTTTAAAAGTCCAAAATGTTAGTGAAGACTCTGATAGTGCTGAAAACCTCCCATCTACCCACACCGTATTTTTGTTTGTGGCACAGCCCCTGCCCCCTAAGCTCCATTATTTCAGTTATATGTCAGGAGAGATGGTGCTACAAACTAGTCGGGWCCTTTTCTTGCTGAAAGACTGAGAGTCCTTTGAAGCACCAAGGACCCAATCTCTGATTCGACCACCACAAAGGCCCGACTCTGGGAGGTTTGGGACACGGTGAGGGATGAGAGGGCAACTCCAGGAGCTGTGTTTGGTGGATTCCCATCACAGCACTGCCCCATCTCAGGAACGCTTGGATCGTCTGGAGCATCCCCAGCCACCCCTGTGTGGTGAAGCTAGTGAACATGGAGCTAGTGAAGCCGGAGCAGCAAATAAAGGGCTGCCCAGTGAAACAAGGCTCTGGGTTCCTTCGCTACAGCCCTGTGAGCAAAGATCAAGAGAACTTTGCCGTGAGCCTCTGCAGATGCTGCCTCAT